TGTCAAATGGGAAGATCAAATAATATTGAATAATTTATTTTCACTCAATATGTTTAATTGCACGCTAAAATAATATAAAATGGGTATTAAATATTCAAGAAAAAAATTTTCTCAAGGTGAGAAAATTTTTTTCTCAGCTGAAGTAGGTGGCACTGCTTCCCTACAGTATCTAAAAATCTTGATCAAATATAAAAATTTATTGTATCAAGTATTTATGATAATTTGAATAAAGAAAAAATTACTTCCACCAAGAATAGAATTTCAAGAAAAAATTTTTACTTCGGTCTTCCTTCAACCATCCGAAAATTTTCTTGAGCCATGAATTTTGTTCTCCAGTCAAGAAATTTTTCTTTCTGTGTAGTATTAAATAAATAATTATATTTACACAGTATTATTTATCAAACTACAATGACCATTAAGTATTAAATAAACTTGTACGTCAGAAGCTATTTAAATATTTACTTGCGCCCACCATACAAGTAGAAAAATAAAAAAAAAAAACAAAAAAGTCTATTGAGGTACACGGACACGAGTCAATTGCATTGGCAAGCCGGTAATGGGCTAGTCAATGCGTAGATATATGCTTGATTGGATCCATAACGCCCAAGGTCGATCGGTATCTGTAACTGTGAAATATTATTCCATTGTATATCTCACGTTTATTATTTTTTTTTCCATTTCAATTCATCTCGCAATATTCTCAAGCACTTTACACTTCAATGTATATACGTAGACATGCATTTATCTGTAATAAACACTTTTTTCCATTTAACGCCTCCAGGCTCCGGGGCGCAATCGATTCGCCGGTAGATCAGGATCGGAATCGGGATCCTTCGCTGAGATTAATTATCAATGTTCGCGTTTAACTGAGTTACTCTTGCGTTATAATAAACCTACTCAAGCAGGTATTTGGTACTGGTTTTAAAAAAGATTCAACCAATGCCAAATTGCATTGACTTGATGAAGACACAGGTAATATAATTGCATTAGCAGTAAAGTAAATGAGAAGGAAATTTATTTTTTTTTTGTTAGTTATGTTAAATGATTTTTTTTTTCTTTTTGTCGAGACGTTAAGTCGACAGATGACTTCCGGCAAAGATGCAAGGGATGCTGTGATGAATAAACGCGTGCCTTAACATCCGTTATACATTCACTTATTGCATCACAACCACCAGGATACCATTTACAACGGCGTACTCTACTATATTATTGCTCTACCTCATGTGGTGTGCGAAATTCTTCCATGTGGTGAACACGCCTTAGTACACACCCTCGCTATTTCAATGATCAGACGCATTTCCCCGGTATTTTTTTCAACAAACACAATTAGGGATTTATTGGATTCATTAATCTCATAAATTATGAATTCTCATATTCATGATTTTTAAATAATTATAATTATAAAACAGGGTTGTACCCTTGTTAAGTATGAAGGTCAGATTAAACACATGCTAACCAAGATCATATTTCTCCGAGTAGAGGTTTTATATCGTGTGAAGAATTAATTTCTTACTCACCTGATATTAATTTTAGCTTATTAAAAAAAAAAAAAAAAAAAAAAAGTTTCGTGTGTCTTTGTGGCCTTTTTGTTAAGATCCTTTTCAATCCTGACTCGACTCGGCTCGACTCGACTCCCTGAGACTGGGCAACCCCTCAGGCTCATCAGCGGATTAAATATATAAGGTGTAAGGTGAACGTACGAAGAACTGGTTTCGGGCACAAGTCCATTAGCAATAATGCAATGTCTATCAAATTAACACGGTTAATTAATAGCTTCGACATATTCAGAGACTTTGCCCTATTGTTTTTAATGTCTATTGCACTATCAGCATTTATTTATTTTTTTTTCGACGTTAAACTCCAAAATCCGGGATCGAGTTCAATAGTTTGAATTCTGACAAGTAAAAATAAATAAATTTTTAATAAAAATCAAACTAAATTTAACTGCGGTAGGTTGTAACCTGATATTTATAATAAATAGTGAGTAGTGAGGAAATTAGATCTTGTATACGCGGAAGAGTATGCTCACCATCTTGTATTCTAAATATAGTGAATGCTGTAGTATAGGTATATAAGTACCGAGATGCATTATAACTAGAGAAAATCCACAACAGCAACAACAACAACAACAAGAACAACAACCGAGACGACTAAAACGACGAATGTCTTTGGCTCAACGTTAGTTTATATTCCACCCCATAAATCGATTGCTTCAGAATCGGTACGAGACTTAACATTAGCGAAGACCAAATCTAGCGAACGCGTTAGACGATACAGTACGATGTTAACTCAGAGTTTAATTCGAAATAAATAAATAAATGTTTCGCGTACATACTTAAGCTATTCTGGAGTTGAGAGTTAGTTTATTTATTAAACTTTTTCCAGTAACTTAAATCATTAAGTAGAGGTGTGAATTCCTCAATTAACGAAGGAAAGTTGCGGCCATTTTTCTTCGACCTTTCGGACAACAAGATTGCTCAATAATCACCGGCAATACTACTGGTGTACGCTAGTAGACTGGATTAACTTTAGTAATTTCTTTTTCTCGGGTGTGACTCTCTTAATTGGAAAAATACCAAACTATTTTTTTGCTCATTGTTATCTAATCTTCATTAATTATTTAATTAATAAATAATTTATTCATTGATTCATTAATTAAAATAATGATATAAATTTTTAACATAACGAATCAGACCCAACCCATGCACTGGGTGAATTATTTTAAGCTGATTGAATTTATATAAAGCATGCAATAATTAGCGATCGTCATCTTGACTTGATTAGAGAAAAATAAAATAAAAGTTGGATAGTTTTAAACAGATGTCCAGAGCCCAGACATTTAGAAAGTATCCATCAGAGTTAATTTTAATTATTTATTTCATTTCCATCTCGAGAATCAAATTTACCGCGGGGAATTGAAATCCGGCAGTGGAGCAAAAAATAATTACTGTAATAAAAAGCTTAAGTGCTGGCAAAAAATGTACGTGTCAAGCGTAACGAGTGCAAAGACCTATGATCATAGTGGTATCAGAAAGTGGATTTGTCATCCCACGTAGGCTATTCGAGCCAGATCGTATGACTTTTTAACGCTCGTTTGCGTTACAGAGTTTGCTGGACACAGACACTTGCCGGCTAGCTTAGCTCTGGTGCAACCTCTATCCTCTCTCTATCCTGCGCCGCGTTACGTATAGATAAGCTAATGTAGAGTAGAGTAATGCAATGTAATAAAATGTAAGTTGGCATTAGTTCCGTACCGCAGTTGAGCCAGCAAATCTATCAGAAAAAGAAGCTTGGTTAGTAACGACCGGCTACTAGTATAGTGCTGGGGAGCTCATTCTAGACGAGAGGCGTGTCGGTGGGTGTAAGAGAGTAAAGTCCTCCGAGAACTTGATTTAGAAAAAATTTTAAACAACCATTTTTTAATAAATATCTTTAAGAGTTAACTTTTAGTTAAATTACTGCAAGTACGTACTCTGTTTGTACAGGGAGTGTAGCCGCTTCAAGGACGCACACAAGACAACTCTCCCAGGAAACTGCTAACCGACATATCCGCGAGGACACTCGACAGTCTGCTCAAGCTGCATCTTACTTTACTCTTTATATTTATGTATAAGAGCAAGGTTTATAACTCGACAACGCTAAAAAAAAACACAAACCAGTCTTATAAGATTACAAATCGAGGATGAAAGTGAACGAGAAGATTTTTCGTCGAGGGTCATCGGGTGGAGTCTTCAGATTTCGACACAATGATATAATCACTTTTTTTTTTCTTTACTCATTACTCTTTCAGACTCTCATGTACTTGATGTTTTGCTGATTTTTATCTCAACTCTTTAATTTTCTGCTGATGATCATTTATTTCAATTAGTATTTTAATCATTTCATATTTTTTTTTTTAGGTAAGCGAAAATTACTTTTTTTTTTTTCATGATATTAAAGTTAGCAGTCACTCTACTTATACAATTTTTCAATTTTTTTTTAACAGACAAATTTGTTCCGAAAAATTATTTTTAAAAAATTGCATTTTTAATTCTTTTTAATTTCTACATGTCAATTTTTTTAATAATTTTTTTCGGGTCATAATTTATTTGTTACAAAAATTTAAAAAATTACCAAATATCTGCTAAATTAATTTTCATTTTTTTTTTCGCTTATTTTACAACAATTTTTTATGAAAATTAATTTAGCAGATATTTAATAATTTTTAGAATTTTTTTCAACAAATAAATTATGGCAAAAAAAATAAGAAAAAAAAATTGACATGTAGAAATTCAAAAAAATTAAAAATGCAATTTTTTTTTAAATAATTTTTTAGAATTAATTTAATTGTTAAATAAAATTAAAAATTTGTCAAGTAACAGCTAACTTTAATGCCATCAATTTTTTTGTTAAAAAAAAAATATCGATTTTATTCAAGACATTCGAAATTATTCTTAGAAACATAACCATCAAAATTTATAATTATTTATACTTACGAGAAAATATTTCTGGAGTAATTATTTACATCTAAATATTTAAAGAATTATTACTTTGTACATAAATCATAAATCTACGTTTAAAATAACATTTATATACAGCATTTTAGGAGATGATCCAAGTCCGAGAACAAGAAACTGCGACTCCGTAATTGACTGACACAACTGCCATTGAGCTTTTTTGAATTGACAACTAGCGGGCCTTTTCAAAATACTGCGCAAGTCATTACATGAAAACTACTATTTTTATTTAATATAAAAGAAGTTATATGTTTATTAAAATTTTAATTTAATTGATAAAATACGTTTCAATAAATTTTTAAACATAAAATTAATTAATATAATAAAATTTCTAAATAAATACCAACTTGAAAAAAAAAAAAAAAAATAACAATGCTGCTTTACCGCCATCTTGATTGTTTCGATATTTGTGAACTAACCACTAACCATAATTCATTCATCTGTAAACAATTTTAACACTGATTTGATGTTTGTTTCAATAAGTTAATAAATAATTACAAAAACATGTGGTTTTTGAAAGGTGAAGACAATAGTTATTTGTACATGCCACTGCGTAGAGATAATTACTCAATTGGAAAACATAAATCAGCTGATTTAATGTTAACTCATCCAAGTACGGATGATTTTCATGCGAAGATTACAATTGCTGAAAAAACTAAAACTATTTTCAGAACTTTGTTAAATTATGAAAACAGAAATTATCCTACATGTACCATCACTGATCTTGAATCATCAACTGGAACGTTCCTAGGAAGAAATGGAAATTTCAACAATTTAGATCCTTGGGAATCATGTCAATTGACGGCTGGTGATAGATTAATATTTGGCAAAGATTCAAATGTTTACGAAGTTAACTTTGAAAAGGCAATTGTTTGTGTTCCAGAAAAATGGGATCGAAGAGAAAAAGTAATTGCAAATTTGCAAAAGCTAGGTATAACAGTGTACAAGAAATTGAATTCTCAGTGTACTCACTACGTGCATCCTGATGATACACCTATAACACATAGATATGCTTCAGCACTAGCACAAGGAGTTTGGATTACTGGCCCAAAGTTTTGGAGAGACTGTGTTAAAGCTTATGTTAATAGTTCTGCGTGGCCAAATGTCATTGATTACGAGGTGAGAATAAAATTATCTCAACCTAATTCAGTTATTCACGAGGTGATACCTGTAAATTTTACCGTTGATAGGTCTCAATTATTTAAAGGCATGACATTTATATTCTTCAGCACCCTCGAAATAGATGACTATGGCCGTGTAGTAAAAAGTGCTGGTGGAAATGTTGAGTTATATTGCAAAGTCTCGTTTGAAGACAAGAAATTAGATGAGACATTATTGTTAGTTAAGCCTTATGTTAAAGAGATGACGCTTCAAAATGGATCTGTCATTAATCTCGACGATTATAATCAAATTTTATCAATGTTGATAGACATGAAGAGAAGAGTAATTATTAGATCAGAAATAACTGCAGCTATATTGAAAAATTCTACCGACTTCTACTGTAATCAATTCATTCCGTTGGACGACGTCACTGGCCGCAAACGTTCTGCTGAAAAAGCTTTAGTTGAAGAAAAAAATTCTTCAAAAATCATTGTCTTAGATGATAGTGATGATGATGAATTTGAACCAGCGGCTCCCAAAAATACCAAGTTTAAGAAATTTAAAAACAATACGGAAAAATTTCCAGACATTTTTAAACCACAATCTTCAGATTATATGAATAAATTTACTTCAAAGAAACCAAGCACCAGAAAAAATCTCCCAGATCAGGTTACATGGCTTTCTGCTAGGCCTGGACAACAATCTAACCCTGTGATTAAAACTAAGTATGATGAAATGAAACCCTTATCACCTCCAGAGAGTCCAGCAAAGACTGTAAGCCTTGACAGGATGATCACTCTTTCGCACTCGATTGGAGATCATATCGAAGCTATTAGAAAAATACAGGACAAGTTAAACTTTGATCCATTTAAACCAATGTCTAAATAATATTACAGAACCTTAGAGTTCTCCACGTAAAGCTTTGAAACGTAAATTAAGCTAAGTGAGGTTTTATTTTAAATACTTATAAAGTTTTAAAAGATAAGCTATTGAAGTTTGAGATTTTTATGCTTTTATTAATGAATGTTTAAGTAATAAGATTTAAAAAATTGAGACTGAAAAAAACAGTGAGTAACGAAGAGGCAGCTGAAATAATAAAAAGAAGACGAGGTTTTGAGTCAGATCTTACAATTACCGAATTCCATATAAGCTGAAGAAACGGGCGTAGACGCTCGAAGGAGATCCAGTATTCCTCTCACTCTTAACTTGACTTTATTTTTATTATATATATTTATTTTCATTCTATTATGATTATTATTTTTTTCATTACTATTTTTCTCGGCTTTTTCTTGACCGGCGCAGAAAACCCAACTCGTTAACACGATTGTTACCAACACACCCGAGATTATTTAACTACAATAGAATGTTCTCTATATTTTATTATTAGTTTTTATAATCCACAATAAAAATATTCTGTAAATTTTTTTTGTTTCATGTTACAAAACTCTTGTTATAATTCCATAGAAAGTTATACTCATGTATATTTAACTCCTAAAGTTTTACTACCAAATAACTTTGTTGATCGTTTGAAGATTTTTCGATCTAAATATTTTAAAACCGTTTACTGCTGCTCGTAAAATCAAAGTCGCATTACTAAACAACTTTTAAATTATACTGCTTTAAAAATCAAAACAATACTCTGTTAAAATATGTTTTTTTTTTTTTTTTTTCTACTAACTCAGATAATAATATAAATAAATAAATAAATAGTCATGTTTATATCATTTACTGTTAATAAAAATAAAAACAATTGTTGGAAGATTTCAGTTTCATTTATTTATTTATTATCTGTAATTTTAACAACTCATAGAAAGTAATGCAAGGAAAAGAAAGTACAAGTATAACAAGTGAATTTAAATATCCATATTTGTTTTTATTCCGAATGATTAATGACTCTTTAAATAATTTCAACGGTGAATAATAATGTGATTTATTAATTTGCAAATTAAATAATACCTCGTTCAATTTTTTAACATTATTGGACAAATATTTGCATTTTATGGTTGTTAATAAATAATTTAGTAGCCAGTTATTTACGTATTTTATGATGATACTTTTGTTTGAATAACTTTTAGTTTTATTTATGGCTTTACTAAAGAATAAGACATAGAAACAAGATGACTGCTAATAAATAAATCGACGTCGTAGACGATTTAATTAATAGGAATCGCGAGCCGTAATCTACATTAAGTTCTCCAGTTAAACATTGTCCAAGACAAGACGTTTTCTCTCTATGCTTCAAGGACTCAATTAGTTGTCAACTTAACATTCATTATTTTTTATTTTTTATTTTTATTTAATTTCATTTTATTGCACCAAGTACTCAACTTTGCTGGGTGAGCTCTTTACACAGACCATCTTACATTTAGCTCTTTATTATTATTATTTTATTTTTCTTATGCTTACCGAGAAATCTGGATTAAGGACAAGCAGAAAAAGGTAAAAAATATTTTTTAAACAATTATCATTTTTTTTACAGAATAATTAAACGTGATCAATGATCTTTATCAAGGATTACTTTTTTCTTTACGCATCACTGATTTTTTTTTATCATTTGCAAATCAGAAGACTTCCAATTGTTTTTTTTTTTTAAATGACAGATCAGTCCTGGACCTTGATATCATGGTCAGTCATCATGCTACCTTAACATTATTATTAATTATGTAAAATACTTAACTGACCAAAGACAATCAATGTAATTTAAATAGTTACAATTTTTCATGATACTGAAGTTAATTGCTAATTTTTTTAATTTTTGTATAAAATCAAGGTAATTATTTACAAGTGGGGTCCACCCTATTTTTGGCCATATCTAGGTGAAAAATTAACATTTTTTTTTATTCTGCTTGTTTTTACGGTGCATTTATGATGAAAAATGTCGTGAAAGAAAAAAAAAAGATTTCGATAGCTTTTTTGCCTTCAAAAGTTAGAAAAAATTCCGGCTCTCTTATTTTTGAATGAAATTTCTATTTTATCTTTTTTTTTGAAAAGTACATCAAAAAAACGAACAATTTAAAAAAAAAAGTTGAATATCAGAATTTTCAAAAAAATTCATTAAATTTGATAATCAACGTTTTTTTTTTTTTTTTCAAATTTATTTTTTTATGGATTTAAAAAAAAAATATATCAATAAAATCAAATCGAAATTTCGTTCAAAAAAATGAAAATTAAAATGGTGGACCACAGCACTTGTAAATATTTACCATCAAGGTAATTATAATAAAAAAAAAAATGCTTCTAAAATTTTTCTCTAATATTTTTTTTCATTTTTACAAGTGGAATTTTTTTTATAATAATTTAATTGCTATAAAATTATAAAAAATTTTAGATACTTCTTTCATATTTAAAAAAAAGTATTAATTTTTGTCTACGTATAAATAAATTATAAAATCTGAAAACTAAACGTAAAGGTAAGTTTGACATTTAATGGCTTGTTTTGCTTTTGATGATTGTTAGGTGACTTTTGACCTGAAAATAAAATTTTTAAAAGCTTAATTGAAAGAAGAAGAAAATAATAAAGTAAGAAATATGACAGTAATGCACAAGGAAGAGGAAGATTGTACGACTGCCAATAAAAGATCGACATATATCGTTATAAATCGAGATCGGATGGGCATACACGAGCGGAACTTGTACATAGAGTACCTTAACATGAGCGCCGCTTATTATAAGGTTAAACTTTTCTACTCAGTACTTGAATATACCAGCGCAGACGTATAATACTCATGAAGGAACTAAGTCTCAACTTGGGCAGGGTCGAGTCATGGGTGGTCCGCTATGCTAATAAACATTCACCCATTCTCTACTCCATATACCTTGATATGATTCCACCAACCTCAAGCCAACCGCTACCGAGTATTTCTTCAATTTACCTATTTTTATTATATTTTCTCTGCCTCTTACGGTAGCAAACCTTCGTTCGAGTCAGATCGAATGGAGCTTAGCCGATTCCAAGAACCACCAATCATAGAATCAGTCGTCATATTCTTCATTTCAATCTGTATTTCCGTAAGGAATAAATTCTTAATAGGAGAAAGAAAATAAAATAAAAAACTTTAAATTGCCGATTTAGTTCAGTGATTATTCGGAGGAGATTTAAAAAGTTATTCGCAATAATGATGGCTACTATGTTGTAATCGGGCGTGTTTGCTGGTCAAGATGCCTTCAGGCAACAATAACAACTGACAATTTTTATATTACTCTTAGTCTCTGTCCAGGTTATTGCTTCGGTTGTTTAATTTTTTTTTTCCTTTTAATTTATATTTAAACTCAATGTTTTATTCCGTTCGTCACTCGACGGCTGACTTTATTTATTTTTTACCGGTGAGTTTATGGATTTAATAAATTGTTATGTGTTTTAAATAAATAGGTAGCTGTGACATCTGTCAATTGAGTGATAAGTCTACAAGTGAGAGCTTCATTGCCGGTACTGAACGGCAAATAAAGATAGTGTTGAGGTGAAAGAGTAAGAAGGCCGTTTTTAAATTATTTACTGGAGGGTACATGTCATTTTATTCTATTGTTATTATATTTAAATAAATCATTCATTCATTCATTAATTCATTTATTTGTTTGTTTGTTTATTTGAGAATTTATTAGCTATGGAAATAATGTCGACGTAGTGATGTAAGAATTTGCGGACAGTTAACGAGTACAGAGTGCCGAGGATGGCAATGAGAAAAGGCGAGGCAGATCCAGCCTCTTCCGGTATTGGAATTATTTTTGCGCAACAAACTCGTCAACCGAAAGCCTACGGACTGAGGATAATAGCAAACAAGATAATAGAAATAACAGAAGAGACTACTACTGGCGAGTCGTATTGATTAAAGTAACTAGATGAAAATTCTTAAACCCGAGAGTACCAATGCAAGGTTTATTTGTTATTGAGGTACTGAATGAAAAAAAAAAAAAAGTTAAAAAATAAAAAAAGAAAGCGCCATCCGTCCATCCAATTTGCGGCACGATCCTATGTTTTCTATAATAATTTCAACTTCATCTCTCATCAATTGTATCAGAGCAGCCTGAGAGTGATATTCTCGGGTAAGTAGTCTAGGGACTAGTCGCGGATTATGCCTGCGGTATCTGAGCCGTAACAACCGAGTACGAGGGGAATATACTTGCAAAATGATCACGAACAAGTCGGTGACGACATATAAATTGATTCAGCGATCAAAATACACTCTGGTAGTTTCAATATTCGTGATTGAATCATTCCCGAGGATTTTTTTTATGTCCTAAGAAAATCGCTATTGATTACCGTAAACTTTTCAGTCTTACTGTCATTGTTAACAACGAGCAAGGGAAAAAAAATAAAAATGACTATTCACCGGCAGTTAGTTCGGACATTTTTGTTTATTTGAGAAAGTCATCTGCATCGGCATGAATAATTAAATAAATAACAGTCTATAAAAATGCGTGCAGTGAGTAGAGCGTGCTCGTAAACTCTCGGACATGATAGAGGAGGGCGCGTGGCTTAACATTGCCCACAGAGATATGATACTTCACTTTCACTCGTCATAGCTGAGCTTGGAGCTCAACATAGGATACAATTATTTCCCCCTGGTCTCATGCTCGCTCGCATTTATGGACCCGACGACGCCTGGACTTCAGCTTGGAATCACCTATACTTTGGAAATACTTGCAATAATCAGAATCAGTACAGATCTTATGTCACAGCATAATATATATCCAGGTACCATTACAGTCTTTTTACTTTTATTTAAAAACATTAAAGTCCATCTCACAATTAACAGCCACACTCGTATATATCCTATCAGCTTCAGCTACTTCTCCTTTAAGTATTTTCTATCTCAATCTTCGCTCGCCTCACTTTATTTTAACGATCATTGACATTCCTGCCGGTTAGGTGAAATGATCCAGAGCCAACA